TACATTTGAATGTCTCTTACTGTGTTCAGTGTAATACACCAAAGCAATTCCTTGTGAATGAAAGCAACTTGTGTATATACCAGATTCTGAAACTAACTGTCCTCCTCGTGTCCAGATCCTGGTGGTGATTGAGCCGCTGCTGATTGACGAGGACTACTATGCCAGAGTAGAAGGCAGAGAAATCATCTCCAACTTGGCAAAGGTAATGGAAGCCTTTTATTTATTGTTTTGTCACACACACTCTGCCTGGCTTCCTGCGAACTATTCTCGCCTGTTCAACCTTTCCATGGTCAGATCAGGGCTAGTCGTTCGCTAGATGAAACTCCAACACGAGAGCTATCAGACGTGACGTTCAGTTCTCGTCTGTTCTCAACCTGCACCCGTTGGTTACAAACAGACATTCCACTTATAGAATTGTATTTATCGCTTTGATTTATATTAATCACTGCCATTTTTATGACACATGTGTACAGTCTCAACGCACACTTGTTGACATAAATGTATGCCAATGTGTTAGGGCAATACGGTGCTCACAACATGAGAGGATAACACGGAGAGAGATCAATACAACACAGATATAGTTGATTAATTATTATTTCGCTGCACAACAAACTAATAATGGGAACACTACCTGCTTCAAGCATTTCAATCGTGTAGTTGCCCCAGACAGAAAAGTCTAACACACTATATGGGTTTTCAATCATACACGAAGACTTTTAACACACACAAACATTTTTAACACACATGAACACACGGACATTTTTAACACACATGAACACACGAACATTTTTAACACACATGAACACACAAACATTTTTAACACACATGAACACACGAAAACATTTTAACAAACATGAACACACGAACATTTCTAAAACTTCTAGTGAAACGACACATTCCAATCCCCAGCGTCATGGTGTAGTTATGCGTCTGAACCAGGTGAAGCAGACGCAATACACTTTAAATGAAAATTGTAAAAGGGTGTGTTCTTGTCAAGATGTAACGATGATATGATGTTGCCATTTTTGGGAACTTCTGAAACTCACATGACGTATTTTTTTTTAACCGTCGTTCTCCCTCTGCACAGTTGGTGGACACCACAGTGGAGCTGGCCAACAAAGTGGGAGCAGCGGAGATCATTTCTCGCATCGTAGATGACCTGAAAGACGAGGCGGAGCAGTACAGGAAGATGGTGATGGAGACCATCGAGAAGATCATGGGCAACCTGGGCGCCGCCGACATCGACCACAAGCTGGAGGAGCAGCTGATCGACGGCATCCTGTACGCCTTCCAGGAACAGACCACCGAGGTGAGAGCCATGATGTGTCAGACATCTTTCAACAGCTTTCAAAGTCAAACGAGTGGAGCTGCAGAAAGATATATTGGCCTACAATATTTATATTTCTTCCACTGATTACTAGATAGGCAATCCAAAAGTTGGTGAAGAATGTGTAAGTGCCGTATATACATATGACAATAACACCTTTGGAATCTTGAATAAGTGCCAATGATCAAAAAACATGGCAAACAGACTCTAATTGACATCTCCGACATTACCGCAGTCCAATAATCCGCTCAGTGCGTCAGGGTCTTATCTTTCCAGAATGTTTTTATGAACTCCATCCCTTCTCGTGTTCCTCCAGGACTCTGTGATGCTGAACGGTTTCGGCACGGTGGTGAACGCCCTCGGGAAGCGAGTGAAGCCGTACCTGCCTCAGATCTGCGGTACGGTGCTGTGGCGTCTCAACAACAAGTCGGCTAAAGTCCGTCAGCAGGCTGCAGATCTGATCTCACGCACAGCTGTCGTCATGAAGACCTGCCAAGAGGTAGGCTATGAGACACACAGATCTAAGAGACAACTTTATTTTATTTTTTATTATTTATTCAAATTTTTCTACAATTTAGAGTTTATACATCCGAAGAACAAACAAAATGAGTAGAAGAGGGAGGGCAGAAAGCAGCTTATACAGAGGCAGCCCTTTGGATGATTCCATAATTAAATACTCACACAGATAAACAAAAGTATATATATCCATACATATGTACACGTATACACACCCAATTCCAGGGTGAAAATAATAAAGTAAAACAAATAAAACATAAATTCCTACAAGTCCATGTTCAGAAAACAGACGGTTTCATTTCTCCTCCTATTTTTATGTAAATTGATACTAAGATAATTATGGTAATAGTCATTATAATTGTTATAGTATTAATTATTATCATTTAATCATATACACTTTTTTTTAATCTATTTTGAAGTTAATCCAAAAACACAATGACCGGATCAAGATAAAAAAAAAATAAAAAAAAAAACATTAGAAGACAAAAATAACAGCAGCTAGGTTTTAGGCGCTTTCACACCGGAGAATAACTCCGATAGTTCCTGGGATTTTGCGTTCACACCAAAAAGATCTGGAACTAGAACTTTTTTTTGCGAACCATTTCCCCCCCTTTCAGTCCCTGCTAGAGAGGTGGTACTTTCCAGGAGAGGAAAAGGTTCCCATTTCTGATTGGCTGGGCGGATTGCAAACCACGCCCCGTAAAACTCAGAAAAGTTTTGTGAAGCCGCCATTTTTTGTTGTTGCTGGCATTAGCATTATTAGCATTAGCCCCGGAGAGAGACTAACTTATGGCAACACAAAAAAACATGGGAGCGGTGGAGATGAGGAGGTGTCGGCATTCTGGCGATTCACTCAAAAGGCTTCAGTAGAAGCTTCTGGGAGTCCCAGCAGCTTCT